CCTATCCCTGGAGGGATTTAAAAGCCGTGTGGATGTGGTGCTGAGGGACGTGGTTTAGTGATGAGCTTGGCTGTGCCAGGTTAATGGTTAGACTTGATGACCTTAAAGGACTTTTCCACCCTAAACGGTTCTGTGATTCCACGATTCTCTGTCCTACCAGTGTGCTGCCCCACACCCACGAAGGGCAGCCTGGCACACTGGGTCTGTGCAGGTCTCAAAGCAGCTCAGATGATGGCTGTGGTGGGTGGCGAAGAGCCTTTGGGTGCAACGCTTTCCTCCCAAGGCACCTTCTAGAGGGGGAGCAAAGACCCGACTCCTCATGGACATGTAAGAAATTCCTCTGGGAAAACAGAAGCGTTAAAGGAAAGGGACAGAAGGAGGTGGTTGGGTGCATGGGTGTCACGGAGAACATCGGAGACGTGGCAGATCTCTTGGAGGAGCCCTGCACGCTGTGCGATCGCCTGGGGCCTTGGTCCCCTGAGCAGACAAGGGTGCAGTCGGTGACTGCGGGGTCGTTCCTCACCCCTCGTTACTCCAGCTTTGCGGCTGAACACCAGGCTTTCCCTGCGGAGAAGAACAGTGCCGCAAGCCCTAGCAGGTCCCGCAGATGTCTGGCTCTTGCGTCCCGGGCACAGGCACCCGCTGTCCGAGGGAGGGGAGACCCGGGCTTTGCCTACCTGGCGGCAGATGGAGGCTCGTTGAAGTGGGAGTCCTGGCTGCCTGGCAAGTCCGTGGCGATGCCGCAAGTCCAAGGCCAAGATGGGAGGTTGGGTGGGAGTCCAGATCCAGCGCAGCGGGGTACACAGCCGAGCACGGGCATGGCTGCAGCGTAGCGTCGAGGGTGAGCATCTCAGTTTGAACACAGCCCTCAAGAGGAGCGGGAGGAAGGGGGTGGTGATGCTGCTGCCAGCCCTTTCTTGAACCCCTCTTTCTCCCCAGCCGTCAGAACCCGGTGAGACACCTGCGCCCGACACCCAGACCCACTGAACCAGGCTCTCGTTCTGGCTTAGGGTGCCGCTCAGGCACCATCTGTGTTTCACAACAGCCCGTGGATCACTGGAAGGGAGTCTGAAGGGTCATCCCGTCCATCTCCCGGCCTCCAACCCAGTCCGGGCTGCTTCAAGCATCCTCAGATGTTGCTCGCCTCATGTCATCTGTCCTTGGGCTGGGCCGTTGTGCCAGGAAGGATGCATTTTTCTTAATGCCTGTCCTAAAAAAGGCTTTGCCGTAATTTCAGCTGCAGAGCCGGAATGGTCCCTGACACCGTTAGCGGACCGTGATGGGGCAGGTTTAAGACCAGAGGGAAGGATGTCAGTCACTGGCTTAGGCCCCCGGCTTAGCAAGCGTTTGTCCTCCCTGCCTCCCAGCTGCAGGCCCCGCGTCCCTCTCTGCTAATGCCGAAAAGCCTCCCGGCATCCCGCGGACAGCAGTTAATCCCCTGTCCTGAAACATAGAAAATTTCCACCGTG